TGGGAAGTATCTATCCATTATGGTTTGTATTGGGGATTTCTCCCTCTTCCCTTCCTTGCCCCAAAGTTCATTTTAGGCAAAATGATAGATAGCATTGTGAGGGCTGTAACCTTATCAGTGGATTAATCCATCTGATGGATTATTAATGTGAATGGACTACTGGGTGGGGCATAAGCAAAGTGGGACATGGCTGGAGGAAGTAGGTTGCTGGGGGCATGCATGGCCTGGGAACTCTGTCTGTCCCCATGGCTTTCCTGCCTCTTTCTCTCTGCTTCCTGGCTGCCATGAGTTGGTCAAAGGCAGATGAGGAAGACAAGGTGACTTTGCAGGTGACAAGCCTCTGTCTTTTTCTTTTTAACATTCCTCATCTCCACATGCTGATTCTCCTCTCCCGCTCTTCTCCCTCCTCCAGATGGGATTCAGCTTATAGGGATTCAGCTTGACCTGACTGCTGCCATCTTTTTTTTTTTTTCCGACAGCAGAATTAATTTTGGGGGGGGTACCAAGGATTGAACTCAGGGGCACTCAATCACTGAGCCACACCCCCAGCCCTATTTTTTTTTTTTAAATTTTATTTACAGACAGGGTCTCATTGAGTTGCTTAGTGCCTCGCTTTTGCTGAGGCTGGCTTTGAGCTTATGATCCTCCTGCCTCAGCCTCCCAAGCTGCTGGGATTACAGGAGTGCACCATTATGACTGGCCGGCAGAATTAATTCTAATGATGGGGAGAGAAAAGCGGTTGAATGCATGGTTGGGGCTCAGACAGCCCTGGGTTCAAATCCTGGTTGCTACATGTGTTGAGACATTGGCTGTTACATTTCCTCATCTGTGACATGGGGACAAAGCTGGAAGTAACATTGTGGGATTGCTGGGAGGGTTAACAAGGCAGTTGAACCAGATTAGTTTGAAAGCACCTTCTGTGCAAACCTTCCAGTGATTCCCATTTTCTATCAAGCTGAGTATAAAACCAGTTCCCTGTATATTTAGTTTTCTCAACTCATACCTTCTTCTGCAGAAACCTCTAGCTTATAGTCCTGTCTTTTTTTTTTTTTTTTTTTTGGTGGTGCTGGAGATTGAACCCAGGGCTTTGTATATGTGAGGCAAGCACTCTACCAACTGAACTATATCCCCAGCCCTCATAGTCTTGTCTTTTTCTGTTTGCTGTTCCTTCTGTCTAGAATACCCCACAGCATTCTGTAAACACAATTCCTATAAAAAGTGAGGCACTAATATTTCTTTTCTTTTTTTTTTCAGAGAGAGAGAAATTTTTAATATTTATTTTTTAGTTTTCGGCGGATACATCTTTGTTTGTATGTGGTGCTGAGGATTGAACCCAGGCTGCATGCATGCCAGACGAGCGTGCTACCGCTTGAGCCACATCCCCAGCCCAGGCACTAATATTTCTACCTGTAGAACACTACACATTTTATTGGAACTAAAATTCAAATTCATGGCTTTTATTATTATTATTATTATTTGTGTGTGTGTGTGTGTGTGTGTTGCTGGGGATCAAATCCAGGGCTTGATGTGTGCTAGGCAAGCACTCTACCACTGAGCCACATTCCCAAACTCATCTGTTTTAGTTAGGGAGTTACAGTTCCCAGTACAAAAACCACAAATAAACTAATAAAGATGTGTTAGTTCCTGTTAAAATTCAGAGGTGGGTCAAGCTTCAGAATGGACTCTTTTTTTAAATTTTTAGATGGACACAATATCTTTATTTTTTTTTTATGTGGTGCTGAGGATCGAACCCAGTGTCTCACGCATGCCAGGCGAGCATGCTACCACTTGAGCCATATCCCGAGCCCCGCAGAATGGACTCTCTAGTTCAATTTTTCTGTAATGTTTTCTTAGTTCTGTCTTCCTCCAAAACTTCCATCAGGTTTTGTCTTCTGACTGGCTTTCCTCATGGTAACTAAAAAAAAAAAAGAAAAAAAAACAAACTTTGGCTGCAACTGTAGGCACACTGCACCACACTATGTAGAAAACAAAAGAATATTCTTTATTGACCAACAGCCCTGGGTCCTTAACAATTAGGTGGCAAGACAGTATAGAGATTTAGCATGCAGGTTCTAAAGTTGGACTTAATATTATCTCTTAAGTGTATGACCTTGGGAAAGTTAATCTGTGATACTGTTTCCTTTTCCATATAATAGCGATTATAATAGCATCTTCTTCAAGGCTGTTGTAGGAATTAAGTAAACTTGAAAAGCAGTTAACAGACTTCCTAGCAACTAATAAATGCCCCATACATATTGGCTTATGTTGCCACTGTATTTCCTTAGAAACATCTCCTTTCATACTGTAATCTTCAGAGATTCTTCTGGAAATACTAAGTCTTCCTGACATTTCTCTGTTGAATTTGTAGTTAATCATTCAACAAATATTAAAAGAAGGACTATTGTTTTGGGCTCTGAGGAATGAGCAAAACTGACAATATCCTGCCCTTGTGGAGATTACATCATAGTTGAAGGTGGGGATGGGAGAGAGACAATAAAGAAATACACACAATAGGGTTATGAAGAAAAATCCATCAGGAAAGGGTAGGAGGAAGTATGACATGGAATATTGCTATTTAATTTATTTATTTTTGTGGTACTGGGGATCAAACCCAAGGCCTTACACATACTCCAGGCAAGCATTCTACCACTGAGATACACCCCAGCCCTTTTAAAATTTTGAGAGTTGCCCAGGCTGGTCTTGAATTTGTGATCCTCCTGAGTAGTTGGCATTCTAGATGTGTACCACTATGCCCAGTGGGATGCTGCAAGTTTAAGTGTGAGCCATTTAAGGTAAGTGAGCCATATCAATGTCTTAGAAAAGAGAATTTGAGGCAGATACTTGCTATTGCAAGTGCAAAAGCCCTGGGGCAAAAAGCCTACATTGTTATAAAAAATGGGATAGAGGCCAAAGTGTGGCTGGAGCAGAGTAGGAAAGGGTAAGACTAATAGGGATAAAGTCAAAGAGTAGCAGGTCACACAGGATTTTGTAGAACATCAACATAATCTTCAGTGCCAGCTAGGGAAGGGCATCACCTGCACAGGCAAATTTTGTAACCAAGGCCATAAACTGAGCAAAGTGACAGCCTTAATTTTTCTGGTGGTAGGGCTGAAGGGAGGTCAGAGAACACTTCTCAGAGGAGGTAGTTCCTAAACTGAGTGCTGAAGGATGAATTAGAGGTATCTGGGCAGAAAGGGAGGAGAAATTCAAATACGGAAAATGCTTACAGTAGAGAATGCTGAAAGATTGTGATGTACTTAACTAAAAATGGTAAGGCTAGTGTGCAAGGGAAGAGCCAGGGAGTTACCAGAAAGTAGGCAGACTAGGCTGGCAGGGGCCAACTTTAATTGATTGTTTATTGAACACTAGGTATGTGCTAGACATTGCACTAGTTCTGGGAACACAGTGATGAAAATTCCTAGTCTCATAGAACTTATATTCTAAAGGTGGAGAGACAAAAATACATAAATAAACAATCGACAGAACAAAATGTCACACTAGAGAACACCTTTAGGAGGGGTATTTAAGAAAGACCTCTCTGAGGAAGAAATATTTAATCAAAGACTTGGGGAAAGAATATTCTGGGCCTTGCTCTTCTGTATCACCATCTCTCTAATTTGATTTCTCTTCCTTTTAAAATAGGACATGGAGGTCATCAAATAAAGGAAGGGCAGTTACTATTGCTGGTTTGCCAGAGTCAGGACTCTCAATTCAAACTGCTCTGTTCTCAGAAATTTCACATCTTAGGCAGGTTCTAAGAGAGGCAATGTAAAAATATAATCATGAAACTACAGATGGGAAGACGCATGGAGAAAATCACAGGTCAGAAGAGGTATGGTTCATTTCCAGCCCCCATGGAGGTCTATAGCTGGCAATGGTCCTTTTGTACTCTAAGAAGACCCCTCCAGCTGTTCTGAGATGTTAGAGTCTGGAACTGTTTCAAATGAGATTCCTATAGGGATAGGCTTAGGAGTGTTTAGGAAGAATCACTACCCACTCGGTCATACAAAACATCACCACCTCAGAAGAGGAAAGCTACTTGAACATAATTTTTTTTTTTTAAGTAAGTGGAATCTTCTCCCTGGACCATCCTCACCGCGGTCTCTCCGCCTAGCCCCAGCCTTGGCAGCGAGGAACGATCCTCACCCAGTCGGCGAACCGCTTCCTTGAAAGTGAGAGGACCTGGCGCTTCTCCCCACCAGTTCTTTTCCGGATTCCTCCCGCACCGCAGCCAGCCCACTGGTTAGGGCCTTATCTCCAAGCCTCGCCCACTTTAAGCACCACCCTCTCATCCCTCCTTTAGGGCCCGCCTCCTTCCGGCTCCTCCCCAGATTGGCCACCTCAGACCCCCTCCTCCCTGCTGTGCTTCCGGGCCCGCCTCCTCCAGGCCAGCTTCAATCCCCCCCCAAAGCTTCTCTTCGGCTCCGCCCACACCCTCCTCCCTTCAGAAGGCCCCGCCCCCTTCCGGACTCTTCTTCTGGGCACTTTCTCTCCTTAGCCCCACCTACTGCTCCTCCTCCTGTGGAGCGCTGCTTTGGCTCCTCGGTCTCCCAGGAGATCTTCTACACCTATCTGGCACCCCAATTCCCGGGGCATCACCACGCTTTCGCCTGCCCCGCCTTCAGCTCCACACTGGTGTAAGCGACTCCCTTCCCCACCTAGCCCCGCCTCCCACCTCCGTTCCACCCCCGCCAGGCCCCGCCCCAGCCCCGCCTTTCTCCTCTTCCCCGCCGAAGCTCAGGACCTTTCCAAAGCCAGACTCAGAGGGTGGGGAGAGTTCTTGCGCCTGGGGAGCCGGGGTTTTTCAGGGGTTGCGGACTCCTAGTGTTTGTGTCACCGTGTCCTTTCCGGGAAACAGAAGCGAGAGGGAGGGAGAGCTCAGGGCTAGGATCGGAGCGGCAGGCAGGGCCGAGGAAGGGAAGCCGCTCTGGACGCCCCTATCTCCGCGCGCCTTAGTGGTGCGAGCCAAGGGAAGGACTCACGGCTGCGGTGCTCGCGCCGCTGTCAGTGCGGCGGGGCGCGCGAGCAGCGCGGGCGCAGGGCGCAGAGCCGGGAAGCTGAGGGGGCGGTCGCGGTGGAGACTCGCGTGCGTGTGCTCGGTCTCCTCGCGCGGCGGCTAGGGCCGCCTCCTTCCTCCCTCCCTTCCGCCCCCGAGTGCGGCGGCACCGCCTCCTTCCGCGCCGCGCGTCTTCCTCCAGACCTCTCGGCGCGGGTGAGTGGGGGCCCGCGGGCGTCTTCTTCAGCGTGCGGGGGATTGTTCCTTGTGCCTGTTCTGTCGCCCACCTCTTAAGACGCGCCGCTGCCTATTTTTAGAAACTCTTTTTTTCTGCCATTCGGGGAGTCCCGGGAGCCCGAGTAACTCCAGGCCCCCACCTCCCCTTCCCCCTCCCGGGTCTGCCACTCTGGATTGGCGGCCCCGGCCCACCAGTGCCGGCTCTTGGCCTCCGTGGCGCTCGCTGCCCGCTTCCTTCTCGCGGGCCGGGCCTGGGCCAGGAGTTGGCGGGGTGGGCCCGCGCCGCTCGGAAGTTGGAGTCTTTTGTGCTCGCGCCCCGCCCCGCCCGGCGAGGGGAGGAGGGAAGAGAGCGGAGGCCGCGTCGGGGAGGCCTCGGGCGGGGAAGGCCCTGGTCCCAACCCCTGCCCCGGGCTTCTTCCGGCTTTCCCGCCCGAGCTGGGTCAGCCAGCTCCCCAAGGCGCGCAAAACTGCCCCTGCTTGGTTCCCGAAGGATCTGAGCGTTTTGCCCCCCCCCACTTCTGCCTGTCCTGGGCACGTTGCACATCTCGGGATCTGAGAGGAACAACAGGCCCACGAGCTGGGGCGGTGATCGCACTTCACCTATTCCTCTTGGCGGGGAAGCCTCGGTTTGCTCCTCCGTGAAATGGAGTAAAGAGAGAAACTAGCCTCGCAGTGTTAGTGTATTCAGGCAGGGAAACTAACATGTGCGAGAAGTGTTTAATACCAACAGGTAACATTTAATGAGACTGACTCAGGAACTTCATAAACTTGTATCATTTAATGCTAATAGTGGCCTTTCAGGGTTGTTCCCAATTACAGAAACCGGCGCAGAGAAGTTAATTTCCTCCAACTCACCGTAGCCACAAAAGTGCAAAACAGTGGTGCTGTAACTGCTATTTCCTGGTGTATGTGTCATCTCTTAAGTACAAAGGATATTTTGACTTACTCTTAGGTCACATCATTTAGAGATACAACTCTGGGTTTTCTCTGACTCCTGGGCCGGTGTCCACTGTACTATAGATAAAATCCCAATTTGCTGCTACTAGAGCTTCAAGGGAAAGGAGGTGGGAATGGTTTCTTGCTGATATTGCTTGTATAATTTGACGGAGATTCCAGATCTCAGACACAGCTGAAGTTCTCCGGCATTTGGCTAAAGTCTGTAAACAGTGAAGTCCTTCCTTCATTTTGCTTAGGGCTTGTTTTTCTTCCCAAGCCTTGCATGTCATCTAGGTTTAGATTTGTAGATCCTAGTTGGGAGAAAGGGTTGGGTATAGCTCAAGTCTTCTTTTTTAAATTTCTCCTATTTTCAGATAAGGCCCAGAGGGGTTAAAGTGAACTAAAATTAGCTTTGGCAAGTGTTCCAGTTTTCCAGTGTATTTGATCCTGGTTGTGGGGAGTGTCTAAAAAGTAGGCTGAGAAGTTTTTCTGCCAGATCTTGAGGAATCTCCTGATGTTTGCATTATTTTTTTGCCACTGGTTGGTCTGCTACACGACACCCACCCCCTGCCTAAGATTTCTAGATTTAGGAGTGATGGTATATAGGAGGCGGCATATAGGAGTTTCTTCAACTCACAATAACCACAGAAGGGCAAACAGTGATGCTGTACTTTTTATTTCATGGTGTATAAGTCATTTCTTAGCAGAGAAGATATTTTGACTTAGTGTTAGGTCACATCATTTACTTACAGACAACTTCTTACAGACTGGTCCAACTTTCATCTTTCTCTTCTTCCTACCGATTAAACCTTGGAATGGGAAGTAAGTTGTCCAAATTCATAGCCTGCCTTAGGGACAGTCAGAACCAGAATCTCTAGTGGTCTTGCTCCCAGTCCAGTAATTTTCACATACCTTACCACCTCTTCAACCTAAGGCACTAAACTACTTATTAAGGGCTTAAGACCAGAAACCCTGAATATGGAAATACCAAGTAGTTACACCCACTTTCTGTGCCATATGTTAAAAGGCCAGGTTTTGTACAGGTGTACCAGTTCTCTTAAGTTGTGACTTTTACATTGTTTATAGTTTACAGTACTCTTTTGTTACCACTATCTGATTTCTAGTTTTGTGAGTTTGCAGAACATGGTTTATGTCTCCTTTTTAAAATTTTTATATTTATTTTGGTTATAGATGGACACAATACCTTTTTTTAAAAAATATTTATTTTTTGGTATAGATGGACACAACACAATGCATTATATATATATTTTTTTATGTGGTGCTGAGGATCGAATCCGGATCCTGCCTGTGCTAGGTGAGCGCTCTACCGCTGAGCCACAATCCCAGCCCATAATACCTTATTACCGCTGAGCCACAATCCCAGCCCATAATACCTTATTTTATTTATTTATTTTTATGTGGTGCTGAGTACCTCACACATGCTAGGCAAGTGCTCTACCACAGAACCACAACCCCAGCCCTTATGTCTCCTTTTAACTGTAACAGTGGAGACATACATAGCAAGGTTAGGGCTCTTGTCTTAGATAATGGAATTAACAAGTGTTGAAGATAGGATATTTTCATGGATGGAAGATGCATCGAACTTGCATCATGTACTGAGCCACTCATTGTGGCCCTCTGAGCTTCAGTTTCCATATGTGTAAACTCTCATAGGATTGTTGTGGGTCTATGAAAAAATGGATGTCAAAGGGCTTTGTTGAGTACTTAACATGTACTATCAGTCACCGGATTAAGGACTTTATGTGGAACATGTCGTTTAATCCTTAGAGCAACCTATGAATTGGGTACAGAGGCTACATGACTTGCTTAGGACCCTGTAATCAATAAGTGTCTAAGCCAGGGTTCAGACTGCAGACAATGTAATTTTAAACTGGTATGCTGTAAAAATTGTGTGTGTGTGTAGGCATACTTAAWTTTTTTTTTTTTTTTTTTAGTTGTAGATGGACACAGTTTTGTTTATTTACTTTTATGTGGTGCTGAGGATCGAACCCAGTGTGTCACACTTGCTAAGCAAGCACTCCTGAACTGCAATTCTGGCCCCTACACATACTTTGTGTGTGTGTGTGTGTGTGTGTGTGTGTGTGTGTGTGTGTATGTGTGTGTTGCTGGGGTTTGAACCCAGGGCCTTGTGCATTCGAGGCAAGCACTCTACCAACTAAGCTATATCCCCAGCCCTACACACTTTTTTAATTTTACCATTTTAACCATTTTTTAAATGTGCTATTCTGTGATATTAAGTACATTCACTTTCTACAATCAATCACCATCATCCATCTCTAGAACTTCTTACATTCCCTAGCTGAAACACTCTACCCATTAAACACTCCCTAGTCCCTTTTCCTGCTAGCCTTTGGCAACAACCATTCTACTTTCTGTCTTTGAATTTGACTACTTTAGGAAACTTGCATAAATGGAATCATAGACTCCTTGTCCTTTGTGACTGGCAGAGCTGGTACTCTTAATGCCTTTTTTCATCTCTAGAGTATTTGTAAATGCAAAATGATTATTTTCATCTGCAGTGGGGTGTGGCATTAAGCCCTAGAGCAGGAATCCAGGCCTGGTTGTATGTTTTAACCCCTCCTCCTCTGGGGTTGAAGTTCCTTATTGCTGAAGCCTTTTTGGATCTGCTAGTTCCTTCTGTATCTTCAAAGAGATCTACCCTTGAAACAACTCAGATAACTTCCTATCTTTGGTCTTGTTTGCACCTGCTTTTTGACCACTCAGGATCAGAAAAGCAGCCATGGGGCTGCAGTGATCAGGAATAGCAGTGCTATCTATGACAGCAGCATGAATCAAAAACTATTCAGAGGCTGATTAGTGGATTACTTTTATGATGTGCTCCTTCTCTGTGTCCCCTTCTTTCTATAAAGGTGCATAGGAGGGATTAACATTTGGGTTCTTAAGAGGGTATCAGTGGATTCGTACTGCTTGCAGGTGGTTAAGGTGAAGTTAGATGCTGCATTTAACCTTTTAAAATTCCCTTGTTGAGATTCTATTTCAATGGATGCCTCATTTGTTACTGGAAAGTTTTCCATTCATCAAATAATTTTAAAGCATCTATCAGGCATGGTATTAAGTTGGGGATTTAGATGCATACGGCCTTGTGGGGAAGACAGGCAAGGAAAACATGCATATGAGAAGTGTTGTGGAAAGGACCAGCATCATGAGAGCACAGAGAAATGATATTTAACCCAGTATTGGGGGACCAGGGAAGTTTTCCTTGGAGAAGTTGGCTAAACCTAGATGCTGAGAAGAAAGTTGGTGTAAGCCAGGAAAAGAGGTGGGGAGGCAGCAATAAGACTTTTCTGATAGGGGCTGTGGCCGTGGCTCAGCTGTATTGCACTTGCCTGGCATGTGTGAGGCATTGGTTTGACTCTCTGAACCGCATATAAATAAATAAAATAAAGGTCTGCAACAACTTAAAAAAAAATGTTCTGATAGAAGGAACCTCAAGTCCAGAGATAGTGAAGATAATAGGTGAGATTTTTGGCTATTCATTATATTTAATAAGTACTATACTAAACATCTTTTCTTGGGGGAGGTTTACTGGAGATTGAACTCAGGGGTGCTCAGCCACTGAACCACATCCTCAGCCCTATTTTGTATTTTATTTAGAGATAGGGTCTCAGTTGCTTAGGGCCTTGTTTTTGCTAAGACTGGCTTTGAACTCTCCATCCTCCTGCCTCAGCCGCAGGTATTACAGAGGTGGGCCACCATGCTCCACTCTAAACATCTAACAGGTTAATTTACTTCTTTCCATAACCACCCTGAGAGGTAGGTACATTTATTCCTATTCCTGCACAACCCCAAAGACTGCTTATATTAAGCCTAGAAAAGCTTAGATTTTCTCCAGATAATGTCGCCTACATGTACTACTGTATCCCTCTCTTTTGTTCTGTTTTGCCTTATTGGGGATGGAACCTAAGACCTTGTATATGCTGGGCAAGTACTTTATTACTGAGTCATATCCCCGGCCCCTCTCTGTAAGTCTTAAGGTACTTCTCCGCTAGGAATTGGGAAAA